TGTGTTTTGATTATTTACTTTGTTTATTTTAGAGTAGAAAAACTTATAAGAATTAAAATATTGTTGTTCTTTATACAAGTGTTTCAATTTTCTACTCTTATCAAAATAAAGTATGGATAGAGCTCTAAGACCTTCTCGCTTGGATACATTACCAAACTCACCTTCGGCAACAAAATTATTTAAACATTGGCTCAGAACATTTGAATATTATCTTGATGAACTCCCTCAAGAACTCAATAAGTTAAAAATCCTAACTAATTTCGTTGTGCCCGATGTTTATGAAATAATAAGCAAATGTCCAAATTATGAAGCAGCAATACAAGCTTTACAATCTGTGTACATCAAACCATCAAATGAGGTTTATGCACGACACCTCTTGGCAACTCGTAAGCAACAGCCAGGAGAAAGTTTTGATGATTATTTACACGCTCCTAAAGTTTTAGCAAAAGAATGTAACTTTAAACAGGTGTCTGCTATTGAATATCGCGATGAATATATTAGAGATGCATTTATAACAGGGATAAATTCACAGGTTGTCAGACAGCGACTTCTAGAAAACAGTACAATAAGTCTGGATAAAATATTTTCAAAAGCTAGAACCTTGGAACCAGCGCAGAAAAATGCTAAAAATTACCTCCAGTATAATACATCAGATACAACAGTAGCTGCAATAACAAAAAAGCCAAAGCAATTTAACTCAAATTTTGTTTCAAATTGCTGGAACTGTGGGAATCAAAGACATGCTAAAGCTGTCTGTCTAGCTAGAGAGTCGATTTGTTTTAAATGTGAGAAAGTTGGTCATTTTGCCAAGTTATGTAAATCTTCTAAACTTACAACAGCAGGGATGAATCTTGTTGACCAACCTTTAAACTCATACAATCCTTCACTCACTTGACTAGACTACCCTTAACATAAAACTAATTTAAAGAACATTTCTGCTTCCATTTCACCTTTGACTAAATCAACAATTGGCATGTTGGTTAATGGTTCATTCATAAATGCTCTCATTGACAGTGGTAGCACTGATAGTTTTATTCACCCTCGATTGGTACAAAAACTAAACCTAACAGTTCATAGACAAAACCAAAAACAGGTATCTATGGCTTCATCATCTTTATCTAGTACAGTTTGTGGAGTAGTTTTTGTCAATATTTCAATAAAAAATGAGCATTATAAACTAGTAAAACTTAACATCTTAAATGAGTTATGCATAGATGTTATTCTGGGTCTCGATTTTCAAAAACAACACGAAGCTGTAACCCTTAAGTTTGAAGGAAAAAGACCCCCACTATTAATTTGTAGTTTGTCGAAGTTGAATGTATCTCCCCCTAGTTTATTTGGCAATTTATCGCCTAACTGTAAACCAATAGCTTCAAAATCTCGTCGATATAGCAAAGAAGACCAATTATTCATTGAAATGGAAGTACAACGTATGCTTAAAGAGGACATTATCGAACATTCAAATTCTCCCTGGAGAGCTCAGGTAGTTGTAACTAAAGGAGAACGCTCTAAGAAAAGATTAGTTATTGACTACAGTCAAACAATAAATAAGTATACTCAACTAGACGCTTACCCATTACCAAGGATTGATAATCTAGTAAACAAAATTGCTCAATACAAAATATTTAGTACAGTTGATTTGAAATCAGCCTACCATCAAATTCCAATTACCAAAAATGATAGAAAATTTACAGCTTTTGAAGCAAATGGGAGGTTGTTCCAATTTAAGCGAATGCCTTTTGGAATTGAAAATGGGGTTGCTTGTTTTCAACGTACCATAAACGAATTTATAGAAAAAGAAGGACTTTTAGATACTTATGCTTATCTAGATAATGTGACAATATGTGGTAAAACCCAAGAGGAGCATGATCTTAATCTGGAAAAATTTCTCAAGCTAAAAATATAAATCTTACTTATAATCATGATAAATGTAGCTTTTTCTAAGATAAAATTTGCATTCTTAGTTATCTTATAGAAGAAGGAAAGCTCAAACCAGATCTCAGTCGTCTTCAACCTATAAAAGAAATGCCTCCTCCTTATGATGCTAAATCCATAAAGCGTATCATCGGACTATTCTCATACTACTCTAAATGGATTCCAAACTTTTCCGATAAGATAGCTTCTCTTACCAAAAACACCAAGTACCCATTAGATCATCAGTGTGTAAATGATTTCAATCAACTTAAACAAGACATTGCAAATGCTGTGACAGATTATGTGGACGAAAATGTTCCATTTGAAGTAGAAACGGACGCATCTGACATTGCTATAGCTGCAGTTCTTAATCAAAATGGCCGCCCTGTAGCTTTTTTTCAAGATTACTTCAAAAATCTGAACTCAAACATCCCTCTATTGAAAAAGAAGCTTGCGCAATAATAGAAGCAGTCAGGCATTTGAAACACTACCTTACTGGACGCCATTTTAAACTTATTGCCGATCAGCAACCTGTATCCTATATCTTCAAAAAGCAACATAAACCAAAGATTAAAAATGATAAAATTTATCGATGGAAAATTGAACTATCGTGCTATAATTATGACATTGTTTACAGGGAAGGGAAACTAAATATTCCAGCTGACACATTTTCTAGAATACATTGCTCAGCAATAAACACTAACAACTTAATTCAGCTTCATCAATCACTCTGTCATCCTGGAGTAACTAGGTTTTATGCTTTTATTAAAAACCGTAATTTACCTTTCTCAATTGATGATGTTAAACGAATAACTAATCAGTGCAAACTATGTTGTGAATGTAAGCCTAGATGCTACAAACCACTAAAATCTAATTTGATAAAGGCGACACAACCACTGGAACGTTTGAACTTAGATTTTAAAAGACCTTTTCCTTTGGAAACTAATAACAAGTATTTTTTTAACATAATTAATGAGAATTCTCGTTTTCCTTTTGCAATCCTGTGCCCTGATATTTCAGCTCAGACTGTAATTAAGTGTTTCTCACAAGTATTCTCGATTTTTGGTTTGCCAAGTTACATCCATTCTGATAGAGGTTCAGCCTTCATCAGTAAAGAATTAAAACAATACTTACTAGAGAAAGGTGTTGTGACAAGTCATACTACAGCATATAATCTACAAGGGAATGGACAAGCCGAAAAGTATAATGAAACCATAATGAAGTCTATTGAGATTGCTACTAGACAACACAATTTACCCATCAAAGCTTGGGAAAAAGTATTGCCAGACGTTCTCCATTCTATAAGATCCTTAGTAAATACTAAAACAATGGAGACACCTCATGAAAGAATGTTTAAGCACCTTCGTAAAACAGCCTCTGAATGCACTTTACCTTCATGGTTAAGTCATCCTGGACCAATACTAATGAAAAGACATTTACGTAATAATAAGTATGAACCACTGGTAGACGAAGTGCAACTCATAGATGCTAATCCTTAATATGCTCACATAAAGTAACCAGATGGAAGAGAAACCACAGTTTCCCTAAGACACTTAGCTCCAACAAGTTCTGCTCCGATCATTGATCAAACAAACCATATTGAACCTTCACCAGAGAATGCCTTTAATAATATTGAACCTTCACCAGAGAATGCTTTTAATAAACCTACTTACCCCTATAAACCATTAACACCTGAGAAATATGGACTTACCAATACCAATCCTGAAAACTTTTCTAATCAGCCTTCCCTTTATCAACCTCCACTAGCTGAAAAGCTTGTCAATGATGCTTTTCCGATCAATCCATTGTTATTAATAACACCCGGAAAAGACACACGTAGATCCTCAAGAGTAATTCGTCGACCATTACAACTTATAGAAGAAGATACATGAAAAACCTTGTTTATATTATAGTATATTCTGTTTTTATTATGGCTGCAGAGCATGTTGTGTTTTGATTATTTACTTTGTTTATTTTCGAGTAGAAAAACTTATAGAAATTAAAATATTGTTGTTCTTTATACAAGTGTTTCACTGTAATGTGCTCCTACTTTACAAACCTATTTTGACTATCAATAAATACACCAAGTTCACACAAAGCATTTTGTGCAAGTTTTAGCATATGACAAGGATCAGAAATAAAATATATATTGTTATCATAAGACTTGATATTAAAATAAGTTTTAATATTTTCAACTTTTTCAAATGAACAACCAAGACTTTTCATTGCACTAAAATTGACTAAAGCTCCATCGCAAGTTATGCTGTGGACATCAATACCATGTTGAATACACAAATTAACTGCTTTAGTTAAAAGACAACTTAAGTTTGTTGTTGAAATCTTTTCACACAAAACATAACCAATAGGACATTTCCAAGTCCAACAAGCATAAATACAAGAGCCTCAGTAGCAATGCTATCTGGATCAAAAGCAGATATATTGTTTTCATAATCTGAAAAGCCTTCATAGTTACCATTACTTGGATTATAGACAAGACCTAATTTTATATGCATAGCATCAAAGATCAATGCACAATCTTTATAGGTAACATATTCTGATCCTTTTTGTTTTAAGAAAGAAAAAACATCCTTAAAAAAACCAGGTGAACAATCAATAGACGATGACCAATTTGCTAGAGAACCAATACAAGGCAAAGCAAACAATGATCTAACAAAAGTATATGCACGAGGTGAATAAAAATGAAGCGTTAAAGCAAGTTCTTCACTTCTTCTGAATATCTGTAACCTCGAGGATCTTTGCATTTATTCATTAGTTCAGATTTAAATGTCACAAACAAGTCTAGAAAAGTTATTATCAACAAGTTGAGCTGCATCAGCTGATAAAAGCTTGTCATTCTCAAGTTTTTTTAATAATTTCTGTCATTGTATTTATTTTTAATTCTTTGCTTCTTAGCTTCTGTTTAAGAGTTTTAACTTTTCGCTTAAGTTTGACTTTGGATGGAGAATCGACTTTATGATTTAAATTATCAATAGGATTTACACTAGTAAAAATATGATTGTTAGCAGAAGATTGCAAAGATTCTTTGCAAAAATCTCTTTCTTTGAAAGAAAGAGATTTTTTTTATTTTATTGAGTGTCTCGAATGTCAGTTACGTTAATAGAAATATGTTTTCTTTCGATGGCCTTTTTACAATCCATTTTCTCCGGAAAATTAAAGATAGACGGTATAACATTAGACTTTAAACGAGGTTTTTTTGCATTTTCATAATTATAATCTTCTTTATGAAAGTGGACATTACATATATAACTATATTTTGTTGGAATAAATGAAGCTCCTTTTGTTGTCACAACCCATTTTTGACAAAGATCGTTATTTTTTAAAGGGAATTTATGAAAGGATATTCCAATACCTTTAACAAATCGGTATGTACAACCATAAGCAGAACAAGATATAAGCATTTCTTATGTAACAAAAGTGAAATAAAAAAATTATAAACCTCCTTTATTAGGTACGCGCACTGAAATTTTTAAATTGATCATATAGTAGAATGTTACATATCATTAGAAAGGCCTTCAATACAGTATTTTAAAGGTGAAAAAATTATTAAAAACGAACAATTTTGAAAAAAGTTATGACATTTTTAGTACCAAATTTAAGATATATGGAATTGTTGAAGAAACTGCGATCAAAATAACTATTTTTTTTACTTAAATTGTTATAACTATATCTTGGTATCAAAAGATAGGTACACTAAGGGCTACAAGTTCATATTGATGCCTAGATGTATCTCGGGAGCCAGAGGAGGTAATGAAACACCATCTAACCCATAAGAAAATACAAGTTTTTGTCAGAAATAAGCACTTTTTAATGTAATTGTTACATTTTATACATAAAATATTGCCATAACGTAATTCCAGAACACTGTTAAACAAAAAAAGGTGATCTTAGAGTTGGTCGTAGATGTGGTTATGATGTTATAACACCCTAATACAATAATCATACATTCTAATAAATAATTTAATCTTTATTACAGAATTAAATATTTTGTTAAAAAGTAAAAATATATTTTTTTACTATACGACATACATTAGTGATGTACACACTAACTTTAGGGAAGAGCGTATGTCGCACCGCCCCTCCCTCTTCCCCCTGATGCATAACAAAAAATAAAAATAATTAAATCTTTATTACAGTAATTAAATTTATTGTTAACAAGTAAAAATAATCTTTTATTACTATTCAACATATGTTATTTATGTACACACTGACTTTAAAAGAAGGACGTATATTGCACCACCTCCCCCCACCCACCTCTCATCTGACAAAAAATAACGTCATCTTTATTTCAATAATCAAATATATTGTTAAAAAGGAAAAATAATCTTTTATAACTATACAACATACATTAGTATTGAAAATATTGTTGTATTACATAAAGCAATATTTTTTTACTATAGAACATGCATTAGTGATGTACAATTTGAGGAGAGGGATGGTTTTCCCCCTTCCCCTCAACCAATGTAAAAAAGAAAACACATAGAAATGATATTTTCAACATTTTCACATGCAATTATTAAAAAAGAGAAAGCAAAATACAGAATTGTTTTACCAGATTGCACGAGTATACATTTGCACGAGTATTCATTTTCTCGAGTTTTCTCGAGTTTGTATTCAGTTGCACGAGTATACATTTTCTCATTTAAATGATCATATTTAACCGACCAACCTAATGAAAAAACATATATCTTATAAAAATTAATACTACAATCAATGAGAACTTTGTGCGCATTAAAAAGAGTTGTTTAACTTAGAACAAGAGGTAGATACTAAAATTATAAAGTTGTAACAAAAAATCAATATTGCAAATAACGAGAAATGCACACACATATTAAATGTAATAGTTTTTCAAATTTCTAGTTGCAGCAGATGACTAAGGAACTAAAGAACCATTAAAAACTAAAAAAAACTAAAAAACCATTAAAAACTAATAGTTGTTTAACTTACCAGGTGTAGCACAAGAGGTAGATACTAAAATTACAAAAATGTAACAAAAAATCAATTTTGCAAATAATGAAAAATGCATACACATATTAAATTTATTAGTTTTTTAAATTTATTAGTTTTTTAAATTTATTAGTTTTTTAAATTATTAGTTGCATCAGCTGACTAAGGAAATAAAGTTAAACATATTGTAAAGTTTGCACATTAAAAATCAAGAGTTGTGTAACTTACCAGGTGTAGCACATGAGACAGATACTAAAATTGAAAAATTAATATTGCAGCAAATGGGAAATCCATACAAGACAAGTAAAAATTAAATTATTAAGAAATAATTATATTTATTAATATTTCTTTAATGGTTAATAAAAGTTATGCTATAATAACTTACCAGCTGTAGTCTGTGCAAATTGGCCTAAAGATAACAAAAAAGTTATATAATCAAAAAAATCTTGAAATTGTAATCAGTCAATAAAAATAACATTTATCAAATCAGTTCTGCTTTACGTACAACAACTTTTCTAACAAAAAAAAGCAATTAAAAAAATAATAAAAAACATAAATTATATTACTGTATTTTAAAATTATATTACTGTATATTAGAAAAACACTAACAAGATACTTTTATAAGAATAAACTTATTATTGTAAAAGTATCTTGATATTTTTATAAGAATAAGCTTGTTAATAATAAGCTTATTCTTGTAAAAATATCAATAACAATAATATTCTAAAATATCAATAATAATATTATTCTAAAATATCAATAAAATTAGAATATTATTCTAAAAAAAATAATAATCTTTGCTTACATGATGTAAACAAAGATTAAGGTTTTTAAACTTATCATTATTGTTTTGTTTTTTAAAAAAGTTATTATTATCATGAAAAACAAATTAACTTACTTTTTGAAGTCTTCTTTATCATGACTTTTACCATTTTTAGTTATTAAAATAATCTAATATTAAAAATTAAAATATTACAATGTAGTAATAATATTTAACCCTAACCCTAACCCTAAGAGAAATTGAAGATAGATCGAGAAGGAATAACCTGAGAATCGACGGTTTAAAAGAAAATGATAATGAAAGTTGGAGCAATAGTGAAGAAAAAGTGTTAAAGCTATTTGAAGAATCACTTGGACTGAAAGAAATTAAAATAGAAAGGGCTCACAGAACTGGAATCAGAGACGGCAAAAAAGTAAGATCTATAGTACTAAAATTACTAAATTATAAAGATAAAAAAAGAATCCTAAAAAATTCTTCAAAATTAAAAGGCAAAAACATATATATAAATGAGGATTATTGTGCGGAGACGGTACAAATAAAAAAAGAATTACGGATGGAAATGAAAAAAGCTCGAGAAGGTGGGAAATTCGCGTTTATATCATACGACAAGTTGATTGTACGAGAATGGTCTCCAAAAGAAAAGTAAATATTTTATGTTTCTTCTAGCTTAACGGTACCTTTTATTTTTCCTTTTTTTTATATATATGATTTAGATTGTTATTATATTCTACTTTTTTAAAAATGGATGATAATCTTTTATTAAATTTGAATACTGAGAGTGATGATGACTATTTCAATAAAAAAAACTTTGAAAGCGAGTATTATTCAATCCGTGAAGCTACTCATTTTTTGTGTCAAAAAAATAAAATAAATAGTTTTTCAATTTTAAATTTAAACATTCGAAGTATCAATAAAAGTTTTGATAATCTAAAATTATTATTGCATGATCTAAATCATGATTTTCAAATAATTACTCTCACGGAAACGTGGTTGAAAAGCAATGAAAAAAACTATAATTATGAGCTAAGTAATTACATGTCAGTCCACCAACCGCGTCAAAACCACGTTGTCGGTGGTGGTTTAAGTATCTTTGTTCACAAATCTATTAACTTTGAATTGCGTAACGACCTCAGCGTTAACGAAACAGATTGTGAGTCGTTATGCATTAAAATAAATAATAAAGCGACCAAAAATATAATTATTAGTTCTATTTATAGAAAGCCATCTGGTAATTTAAAAAAGTTTCATACCTATCTAAAAACATTTTTAAGCAAAATTAACATTACAAAGAAACACGTGTACTTAACTGGTGATTATAATTTAAACTTGTTAAATCATGCTTCAAATCTAAATGTTCAATGCTTTTTAGATACACTTATACAATACGATATCATTCCCACTTTAAATAAGTCGACGAGAATAACTAAGACTTCGTCGACCTTACTAGATAACATATTTACTAATAATTTTCATAATTGCCCTTTAGAATCGGGTATAATTAAAACTGACATAACAGATCATTACCCAATATTCTTAACTACAGATAATATAACCCTTAATCATTCTGTCTCTAAATCAACAATATCAATGCGACAAATCAATAAAAACTCCATAATATATTTTCGAAATCTTTTATCTGAAAAAACTAATTGGGATCTTATATTACAATCGCAAGATGTTAATAATGCGTATGAATTATTTTTGGCGCAGTTTTGTAAATACTATGATTTGGCATTTCCAGTTATAAAAAAAATTATAAATCCTAAATCACTTTTAAACCCTTGGATGACCAAAGGTTTACTCAAATCATCAAAGAGGAAACAAAACCTTTATGAAAAATATTTAAAACATAAAACATATAAAAATGAAACAAAATATAAAAATTATAAAAACTTGTTTGAAAAAATAAAGAAACAATCTAAAAAAAATTATTATGCAAAATTGCTAGAAAAAACACAAGGAAACACACAAAAGACGTGGAATGTAATTAAGCAGATAATCGGTACAAATAAATGTCAAAATAATAAATTGCCAGAAAAACTTTTAGTTGACGGGGATATAATTTATAATAAAGAAGTCATAATTAACAAGCTCAACAAATTTTTTCTTAATATTGGACCAAAATTAGCTGATAAAATTCCAAAAACCAACTCAAACAACTTCGAATCTTATATAAATACACCCAACACATCTATGATAGAATCTAATTTAAACTTAAGTGAGATGCGCAATGCTTTCAACTGTCTAAAAAATAATAAATGTGCGGGCATTGATAAAATTAGCGTAAATGTAGTTAAAGCTGTGTTTGATATTATTGAACCATCACTGTTTCACATTTTTAATCTTTCTTTAAAATCCGGTATTGTACCGGAGAAATTAAAAATTGCTAAGATTATACCTATTTTTAAAAATGGCGATGATACAAATATGTCCAATTATAGACCTATTTCTGTCTTACCATGTTTCTCTAAATTGTTAGAACGAATTATGTATGATAGACTTAACAACTATTTAACTGAGAACAATATTCTGTATAATAAAAAATTTGGGTTTAAAAAAAATCATTCAACGGACCATGCAGTAGTCGATCTAATAAATTATGTATCCAATGGGTTCAATAATGATTGCTATACATTAGGAGTTTTTATTGATTTGTCAAAAGCATTTGACACTGTTAATCATGATACTCTAATAAAAAAACTAGAAATGTATGGAGTATTAAACAATAACTTACAATGGTTTAAAAGTTACCTTTCAAACAGGAAACAATACATATTATATACAGAAAATGAAGAAAAAAAACATATCATAACTTGTGGTGTTCCCCAGGGATCAATCTTAGGGCCCTTATTATTCATACTGTTCATTAATGATTTGTTTTTAGCATCCAAAATTCTAAACGTTATTTTGTTTGCTGATGACTCAAATCTTTTTTACTCTAACAGAAATATTAAAGATCTGTTTAGAATTTTTAATGAAGAGTTATTAAAAATAAATGAATGGATTACGAATAATAAACTTTCATTAAATGTTGGGAAAACTAAATTTATGTTGTTCCACAAACCTAGTAAAGGTGATAACCTTTTTTTAAAACTACTTGATCTCTTTATGAACAAAAATATTATTAAAAGAGAGTCAACTATTAACTTTCTAGGAGTGATATTAGATGAAAATATATCATGGAAATATCATATTAGATCTATTGAAAATAAAATCTCCAAAAATATTTCAATGCTATATAAAGTTAAACCTTTTCTTAATACGGAATCTTTAAAAATTATATATTTCTCATTTATTCATAGTTATCTTTCCTATTGTAATCTTGCATGGGCAAGTACCAATTATGGGAAGCTCAAAAAAATTTATAGCAAACAAAAACATGCTTGTAGGATTATTTTTGGCGTTAACAGAACTGTTGATGGTGAATCTCTTTTAAAGAAACTTAATGTGCTTAATATTTACAAACTTAATATACACCAAGTTATGCTATTTACGTTTAAAACAAAACATGCGTTATCTCCTAATATATTTCAGTCTTACTTTACCGAAATATCTCATAAATATCCCACTAAATTTTCATCTGATAATTTTGTTATTCCAAGATCTTATTTAAAACTCAATTCATTTCAAATTCAATACCGGGGACCATTTATATGGAAAGGTTTTTTAAAAAATATAATTAAAAATAAAATTCTTCGAGGCATCTCCTTAGAACAATTCAAAAGAGAATCTAAACGTTTTCTATTAGAAAAAACTTTCGATTTTAAAGATTTCTTCTAAAATCACCTAAAATAATTAAACCTGAAAAAGTCATCACTACTCATTTACTATTGTCTTGCGTATCTTGTTTATTTCTTATTAAAATAAAAAATATATATACTATTAATTTTGAACAGACAAATAACATTTATTCGATTTATTACTTGTGTCTTATATTTGTCGAACTAATATTGTATTGTACTTCAATTTTTAACCTTTTAGTTTTTAACTTGTAACTTTGTTACGTTAATGTAAACGGGGCTTGGCGATAAGACAGTTTATGTCTTCTTCTTGCTCCGGCCAATTTTTATACATGAATGGTTTTTTCTCATTGTAAATTTAATTATACAGCAAAGAAAATATAATAATAATAATAATAATAATAATTTTTGTTTACCATTCGCTACCCCCCTATCCTCCCTCGTATTTCTCTTACCGATAAAACGAAAACAAAAAAAACGAATTTAGGTACCAAAAGTCTTACATTTCTTATACTATCTGCTCCCTAATATTTTTTTGCTGAAATTTGGCATGTGCAAAGAAAATGCATGAAAAAAAGTGCCTGAATAACAAAAAAAGCAGAAACTTCATTTCTTTGATAACAACTTAATGTGAAAACATCAACGAAATTTTCATGAAAGTTTTTAGCAAAACTAACCATAAAAAAGTTTAGTGGTTATACATTAAAGTGGTTATACATAAAAGTACTATATGCAAAAAATATTAGGGAGCAGATAGTATAAGAAATGTAGGATTTTTGGTACCTAAATTCGTTTTTTTTGTTTTCGTTTTATCGGTAAGAGAAATATGTACTATTGTGTTTCTTTCTAAAACAATAGCTATATAAAACCGAAAATTTCATTCTTGTTTAAAGCTTGTACATTTATTTTCATATTAAAAAAA